AAAAAAAATACGATTTAATTTTCTTTGGGTAGATACCCAGTACTGGAATTACTGGATCAAATGGTAGTTCTGTTTTCAGTTCTTTGAGAATTTTCTGTACTGTTTTTCATAGGAGCTGACTTAATTTACATTCCCACCAACAGTGTATAAGTGTTCCCTTTTCTCTGCATCCTCATCAACACCTGTTGTTTTTTGACTTTTAATAATAGTCCTTCTGACTGGTATAAGGTGATACCTCATTGTGGTTTTAATATGCATTTCTTTGATGATTGGTGATGTTGAGCATATTTTCATATGTTTATTGGCTGCTTGTATGTCTTTTTTTGATAAGTGTCTGTTCATATCCTCTGCCTACTTTTTAGTGGAGTTATTTTTGTTGTTGTTGAGTTGTTTGTATTCCTTGTAGATTCTGGATATTAGTCCTTTGTCAAATGCATTGTTTGTGAATATTTTCGCTGATTCTGTAGGTTGTCTGGTTACACTGTTGATTGTTTGTTTTGCTGTGCAGAAGCTTTTCAGTTTAATGAAGTCCCATTTGTCTATATTGTTGTTGTCGTTGTTGGATTTTCTTTTGAAGGCGTAGTCATAAATTGTTAGCCTAGACCAATGTCCAGAAGAGCTATTCCTAGGTTTTCTTTTGGATTTTTATAGTTTCAGGTGTTACATTTAAGTTTTTAATTCATCTTGAGTTAATTTTTGTATATGGTGAGAGAGAGCAGTCCAATTTCATTCTTCTGCATATTACTCTTTAATTATCCCAGCACCATTTAGTGAATGGAGTATGCTTTCCCTAGTGTATATTTTTGTCAACTTCGTTGAAGACCTGTTGGTTGTAGGTGTGTGACTTTATTTCTGGGTTCTCTATTCCGTCTCATTGATCCGTGTGTCTATTTTTATACTAGTACCACACTGTTTCAATTATTATAGCCTTGGTTATAGTATAATTTGAAATCAGGTGATGTGATACCTCCAGCTTTACTGTTTTTGCTTAGGATTGCTTTGGCTACTTGAGCGGTTTTTTTTTTGGTTCCATATGAATTTTAGGATTATTTTTTCTAATTCTGTGAAGAATGACATTGGTAGTTTAAAGGGAATTGTGTTGAATCTGTAGATTGCTTTGGGCAGATTTGGTTCCTCTAATCCATGACCATGTGATATTTTTCCATTTGTTGGTGTTATCTATGATTTCTTTCAGCAGTGTTTTGTAGTTTTTCTTGTAGAGATTTTTCACCTCATTGGTTAAATATTTTCCTGGGTATTTGGTTTATTTGCAGCTATTGTAAATGGAATTGAGTTCTGACTTGGTTCTCAGCTTGATAATTATTGGTATATAGAAATGCTACTGATTTTTATGTGTTGATTTTATATCCTGTACCTTTACTGAAGTCGTTTGTCACATCTAGGAGTCTTTTGGAGGAGTCTTCAGGGTTCTCTATGTGTAAGATTATATCGTCAGTGAACAGAGATATTTGACTGTCACTTTTTCAGTTTGGATGCCTTTTATTTCTCCCTCTTGCCTGATAGCTCTAGCTAGAACTTCCTGTCTTCTCATTTTTATTGCAAAGGTTTACTTTCTGTTATAATAATAATACTTTACATATATTTTAGGAGATGTTGACTATTTTTTCCTTTATGCTGTCTTCTTGAGCATCTAACCTTCCCTGAGAAAAAATAAATCACCTTGATATAAACTTCTTTACTGATCTAATTTCGTTCTATAATACATTTCTCTTTTAAATTTCTCCATATGTCAGTAGATCTATTAAGCATCAAATGAAATTCAAGATTTTAATAAGTAAATATTTATTTGTATAAATTTAAGGGGTACAAGTGCAGTTTTGTTACATAGATGTATTACATAGTGGTGAAGTCTGGGCTTTCAGTCATACCATTACCCAATTAGTAGGATTAAGTACTACTTTGACATTATGACTACCTTTCCTTTAAGAATTTTCGGCCAGGCACGGTGGTTTACGCCTGTAATCCCAGCACTTTGGGAGGCTGAGGCAGGTGGATAACCTGAGGTTAGGAGTTCCAGAACAGCCTGACCAACATAGTGAAACCCCGTCTCTACTAAAAATACAAAATTAGCAGTGTGGTGGTGCATGCCTGTAATTCCAGCTACTTGGGAGGCTGAGGCAGGAGAATCGCTTGAACCAGGGCGGCAGAGGTTGCAGAACCAGGGAGGCAGAGGTTGCAGTGAGCTGAAATTGTGCCATTATACTCCAGCCTGGGCCACAAGAGCAAAACTCCGTCTCAGAAAAAGAAAAGAAAAGAAAAGAAAATTTAGAACTAATATTTCATACTGAGTTTTCAAGTATGAAAAATTATACTTTTGAGTAAGATATTTATGTACAGTATACAATCTAGGTAATTTTAGAATGCAGTCTTGAAAGATGTACACCAAACCGAATATGATTACCATGGTTTTTTGTTTTTGTTTTGAGACAGTCTCATTCTTCCATCCAGGCTGGAGCGATCACAGCTCACTGCAGCCTCGACTTCCCAGGCGAAGGTGATCCTCCCACCCCAGCTGCCTGGGTAGCTAAGACTACTAAGGTATGCACCAGCATGCCAGGTTAATTTTTGTATTTCTAGTAGAGACGGGGTTTCGCCATGTTGCCTAGGCGGATCTTGAACTTCCGGGCTCAAATGATTCTCCCCGCCTGACCTCCCAAAGTGCCGGGATTGTAGGTGAGAGTCACTGCATCCAGTCTGATTACCATGCTTAAATGAAAAAATAAGGACATTGGTGATGATTAGCTACAATATAGAATACTTTTTTTTTTAGATGGAGTCTCACCCTGTCACCCAGGTTGGAGTGCAGCAGCGCTGTGTCAGCTCACTGCAACCTCCGTCGCCTGGGTTCAAGCAATTCTTCTGCCTTAGGCTCCCGAGTAGCTGGGAATAAAGGTGCCCACCACCACGCCCGGCTAATTTTTGTATTTTTAGTAGAGATAGGGTTTCACCGTGTTGACCAGGCTGGTCTCGAATTCCTGACCTCAGGTGATCAGCCTGCCTCGGCCTCCCAAAGTGCTGGAATTACAGGCGTGAGTCACCGCTCCCGGCCTAGACGACTTTTCTATTTGGTGAATATAGGAAGGAAACAGGATGCCTCTCTGAAATGAACTCGTATTTTTTTTGTGCCCAGTAATTTCCTAAGATATTCCATCCTAGTCTTTGTTTTCCATAGATCCACTATCATGACATCAACATTATTATCAGGGGTAGTATTTGAGTACTTTTTGGTTCTAATTTCTAGGGATAAAAATAGTAGACATGATCCTTGACCTTGGGAAGAGGGAATTAATATGTGTCATATAGCAAGTGAATGGATGGAGGAACAAAGTCAATACCAAATGATAGTACAGACAATACTTGCCAAAAGAGTGCAAGGAAGAGGATGTTCCACAAGGACGTTAATATATGCAAATCTTTTGATAGGGAGATGGTTGGAAAAGACTTCCTGAAGAGGTAGAGGTTAAACTATAACTTCAAGAAAGGATACCGTCTAGGCAATGAAGAGGTTATAAGACACTTGGGGGAAGGGCTTGAGCAAAACCATGCAGGTAGAAAGAATGTGAGTGTGTTCAGGAAACAATGAATAGGCCAGTCTGTGGTGAGCAGGAGTTTTATTTAAGCAAGTAGTTGAAGATACATTTTCAGTGTTAGGAAGGAATGTGATGAGGAAGGACAATTATAGGAGTTTGATAGTTTACTGCAAAAAAAAAAAAAAAATGATAAGCTGTCAAAGAAATTTAAATAGGAAGATGGAGTTGAGATAAGCACAAAATATTGTATGCAAGCTAAATCTAATCTATTCCTGGGCTGAAGCGTTGAATATTGTTAAATATCTTTGCTATATAAATGTGTGCTTCATCTATACTTCTTCATTGTGCTCTATTTCCCTTAGCATTATCAAAAAACTAAATACAATTTCATCACTGATGTTTTAGAGGGACCTTGAAGATCTTTCTGTGACTCAACTATTTGTCCTTTTGTTGGATCAATTATTATATTTTGGATGAATGGAAATGCTAGCTTTTAGAGAAAAATTGTGTGTCTGAGAGTATCTTTATAGACTACAATGGTGTAAGAAGATATTCTATTAATATTCTATAAATTTAAGATGTGTTCCTGTTTACTCTTAAATTACAAAGTAATACAATGCTGGAATTGGAAATTTTTAGTTCATTTTTAAATGAATTTATTCTTTTGCGCAAAGTAGGAAATAAGGATATGTATGGTGTGAGAATATACTCAGTATTTCACCAATTAAAAATATATTGTTCTGAGCTGTTTTTAAAAGTAAATTCATGTATAGATAAGTTTGATTTGCTTAATGTGTTGTTAGTGTACAGTAGGAGGCAGAGTCATCTTCCCTCTCCCCCGCACCTCACATTCTGAGTGAACATGGGAGCCGTCTGGCTGCCACATTTGCACCCAGGTGCACTCTCAACAGGAGTGGTATATGTAAGAAGTCTCACAGAAGCCCATTTGTAGGGTTAGACTTCCTCCTGCTAGTCTAGATAAGTTCTCGAGATGCCAAATCATTAAGCACAGTTTCCAGTGTGGGAGGCCCTTGAACTTCCTCCACCATCTCAGGCTTGAATAAATGCAGATTGTTCCACAAGCCTAAGCGAATACTTGCATTACTCTCCAGAGTAATTTGAGATTGTACACTTGAAGAATTTCTCCTCAAGACTATCTTGCTATACTGAAAATGCACCCTTTTCAGAGCTTTGAGATGTAAATCCAGCCTAAAGAATATTTGCCGGTTTCACCTCCTAAAAAGGTGGTAGAAAAGGAGGAAGGAGTATCTCCCCATGTGCTCTATACGTGCATGGGATCACACAGATTTCTCTCCATTGCAGAGTGGAAAGTGCAAGAATTGGATTAATTTGGTGGTGTCTCCGCATTTCTTCATTCATAGGCAAATAAATGTTTTTACACAACTGTTCCTTATCTTCTTTCTTTGATTGGCTTGCATTCCTTTTCAGTTGTGTACTATATCTTGAAGAGGAGAGAGGGAAAGATGTCAATGAGGACGCAAGCAAGAGGTTCTGAAAAAGCTGCTTTTGGAGAGGCAACTTCTGGACTACTAATGTTTTGGTTCTTTTCCTCTTCTCTTGCATTTCTTTTTTAAAACACCATACATCCAACACCTTTCCATGGCCAGGAGACTGCTCATCTCAAAGCCATACCAACCTAGCAAAGCTATGCAAAAAAGAAGCGTTTAGATGTACAGTAGTCCCTGTTATCAACAGTTTTGCTTATCCATGGTTTTAATTACCCATGGTCAACTGTGGTCCTAAATTAGTAAATGGAAAATTCCAGAAATAAGCAATTCATAAGTTTTGGGCCAGGTGTGGTGGCTTATTACCTGAATCCAGCACTTTGGGAGGCTGAGGCGGACTGATCATCTGAGGTCAAGAGTTTGAGACAAGCCTGGAGAAAATGGTGAAACCCTGTCCCTACTAAAAAATACAAAACTTAGCTTGGGCGTGCTGGCGTGCACCTGTAGTCCCAGCTACTCGGGAGGCTGAGGCAGGAGGAATCGCTTGAACCCGGGAGGTGGAGGTTGCAGTGAGCTGAGATCACGCCACTGCACTCCAGCCTGGGTGACAGAATGAGACTCCATCTCAAAAAATAAAAAAAATAAATTCCCATATCATATTTACCTTGGCCAAGCATTACCTTGGCCAAAACTTGGAGGCCAAGTTTTAAACTGTGCATTCTTAGTAGCATGATGAAATTGCATGACTGTCCAGCTCCATCTTGGTCTGGGCAATGTGTAATTCCCCCTTGTCCAGTGTATCCACACTGTTATACCTACCTCCTTTACACATTAGTAGGTCTCTTGATTATAACGAAAACAAAAAAGATGCTTATATATATGGTTCAGTACATCTGTGGTTTCAGGCATCTCTGGATGGTCTGGGAACGTATCTCCCAAGGACAAATGGGGAGACTACTTATATTAGTAATCAGAAAATTACTCCAATCCTAAATGGGCCTAGGGATACCCACAAACATAAAAGATGAAAAGTAAATAGATACTTCAGCCCATAAATCTGGTAATTTAATTATCTGGGCATAAATAATGCTGCTACTTTGAACAAATTCTTTTTCAAAATATTCTGATTTCTTTTCTCTCCTGGAATTTTCACAATGATTTCACCTGCTAACCTCAGCACCATTTATTTTTTTACCTCCCTCATATTTTGTAAATGAATGGTTATGTTGGCAATCAAAAGTTTCCTGTAAGTAAACTATAAATCAAGATACTATTATGAATAAAATTCCTTTCTTCCATATTGAATTTAAGCCCCACTTCTTTCAGTTTACAAAGGTTTCCATGACTTTTATCTCCGCCTACATATTTGCTCTCTTCTCATGCACACTTGCTTGTTCCTCTCATTGTAATTATTCAACACGCACAAATATTTACTAAGTGCTCAATATATATAAGACACATACCAAGAGTTATGTAGGAGTTTTTATGTGCTTGTAAGGAGGAAAGAAATAAACGTAACAATACAAGGTAGTATTTGACTTAACCTTAAGAGTTATACAAAGAAGGAGCTTAAAGCATTTAGATGACAGAGAGCAGTTTCAGCTGGAGGAATTCTGGTTAGGCTTTATGGAAGAAGTGGCATATAAATGTTACCTTAGATGGGTAGGATGGGTGGGATTTCAACAGAGAACATTCTAAATACAGGCAGCCATGTAATCCAATGTAGAAATATGGGGAAGTGTGTAGTGTATATTAGGCAATGATCTGCAACATAGTTTAACTTACAGTGTGTGGGGCGATAGTGCAGCGGGTTAAGTTGTTTATTTTTTTATTTTTATTTTTTTTGAGACAGGGTCTTGTCCTGTCACCCAAGGTGGAGTATAGTGGCTGGATCACAGCTTACTGCAGCCTTGACTTCCCAGGCTCAAGCAATCTTCCCACCTCAGCCTCCCAAGTAGCTGGGACTACAGTGTCGGATACCATTCCTGGCTTAATTAATTAATTAATTGATTTATTGAGACAAGGTCTCCTTATGTTGCCCAGGCTGGTCTCGAACTCCTGGGTTCAAACAGTCTTTCTGCCTTGGCCTCCCAATGTGCTGGGATTATAGGTATGAGCCACTGTGCCCAGCCTAGCAGCAGGTAAAATTGATGAGTAGATTGATATCTGATGTTAGAAGCATTGATGCTGAGGCTAGATTAACAATTAAAACTTTATTCCAAAAGTATTAACCCTTGAACTATTTTATTTATTCATTTTTTGATAGGCTCTTGCTCTGTCACCCAGGCTGGAGTGTAGTAGCATGATCACAGCTCACTGTAGCCTCCACCTCCTGGGCTCAAATAATCTTCTTGGGGTTTCCCTATGTTTCCAAGGCTGGTTTTGAACTCCAAGGCCCCAGGGATCCTTCTGCCTTGGCCTCCCATAGTACTAGGATTACAGGCATGAGTCACTGTGCCTGGCCCAACTCTTGAGCTTTTTGAACAGGATAGTTATGCAATCAAAGTAGAAGTTAGAAGGAAGAGTCAATTTAGAAAGGATCAGGTGGGGATATTTACCAGACATGGGAAGGCCTTTCAGGGCAGAACTGTAGTGATCCAAGAAGGAAGTGGTAAATGTCCAAATTAAGATGATAAAAATTAGAATAGGGAAAAATGAATGATCCAACAAGAATTGCAAAAGAAGAAACAGTTTATATTTCCTCCAACTAGATTGTTTTCTGAGAGCAAGTACTATGTCTGCTTCTTGTCTCCCCAATACACTGTACATTGCTTGACATAGAAAAGTGTCTTATACTGAATAAATATCCTCCTTAATTATCTGTTTCATCTACTTTCATATTGTCTGCTTTTAAGTAATTAAGTCTTAACTATTAGACTATTAATCAATCACCTTCTCTTCTCATTTCTCCCTCATATATATATAGAGAGAGCCAGCACAGCTAATTTTTCATAAAAAACAGATCTCAATAACACCAAACTAGTTCTTCATTCACTGAAAATCAACAAGGGAAGCAAGAATGAAGAGTTGATTGTAGATAAGAGGAAGGAGGTTTTGGAGAATTGCTCTCAGTAAAAACTGAAAGAGCTTTTGAAACTAGGTTCAAATATGTCAAAAACACATAAGAATCTGGGCTATTAACACATTATAGCATAATTTTTTGAAATACTACTGCTACTTCTAATAAGCATTATATTGCTCACATTTTAGCATAAGAACTCATAATACACAGCAACTGACAGTTGTGCAGGGCAGGAGTCCCCAGCCCCCGGGCCATGGATCATTATTGGTCCATGGCCTGTTAGGAACCAGGCTGTGCAGCAGGAGGTGAGCTGTAGGCGAGTGAGCATTACCACCTGAGCTCTGCCTCCTGTCACATCAGCAGTGGCATTAGATTCTCATAGGAGCATGAACCCTACTGTGAACAGTGCATGCGAGCAATCTAGGTTGTACACTCCTTATGATAATCTAATGCCTGATGGTCTGACATGGAATAGTTTCATTCCCCCTACTCTCGCATTCATGGAAAAAATTATTTTCCACAAAACTGGTTTTGGCACCTCACTGGTGCCAAAAAGGTTGGGAACTGTTAACCTAGGAGACTGAACAGGGATTGTACTATATGTGAGCAGAATTTCCTATGCTTTGCTCTATTTCTGACACGGACTCTATAGTGGCAAACAGGCTTCATTCCTTGCACAGTTCATTAAATATATTTCATCATGTCCTAGGACTGCGCGGGAAAGAATCCATTAACTGTATGAAAATGATTTTAAGTCTCTTTATTTTGAATTGAGAATAATTTCCCAAGATTCCTATCCTGAGGTCAGTAAGGATTATTGCATAGTTTTTTCCTCTGTTTTGCAATGCTAAGTTTATAGCTTACTGCATTACTTAAAAAAGGGAATTGCCAATGTATTACTACTTAACTACTTTAGATTAGCTGTTAGAGAGATAAGGGTGATGAATGGTGCTTAGCCCCAGTGGCGAAATTGACCTAGTTTCACGCTTTCAGATGGAACCAGCAGGTTTATCAACTACTCCCTAAAATAAATATTTGGGAGTATATGACGAAGGAGTGTAACTAATTCTATACAAAGCTTTAAACAAAAATTCCATTGTAAGTTGCAATAAATATTGAAAGAAGATGGATCTCTTATTTGAAAACTGTCTTTTAAGGCAAATACAACGTATTTCCATTTTAAAAGGAAAAGATTATTTTGTAACATCCAACCTATAGGGGCACACACTGGTAGACTTTGGAAAATACTGAAAATATCTACCTATTGAGGTTTGCTAACAACAACTATCACTCTGACTCTCAACCTTGGAGTAAACTATTTTTCTATATTGAAAAGTCTTGTCATTTTTGTTAAAGTGTGTTTGTGTGTTTACATATAATATGTGTAAAATTTAACCACTTTAAGTTCACCATGATTTAATTTAGCAGAATTTTGAAGCAAAATGGTTACTGCTGAAATTACATGATTAGCAATATTCTATTTTTATTTTATTTTTTGTCTTTATAATACAACATGATATTCAATTATTAGTAATATCCTAAATTTTAAAAAAAATTGACTGGTTTTGTAAGGAAGGTGAGTGGCTTTTCTTTTTTTTTTTTTTTTTTTGAGACAAAGTCTCACTCTGTTGCCAGGCTGGAGTGCAGTGGTGTGATCTAGGCTCACTGCAATCTCTGCCTCTCAGGTTCAAGCGATTCTCCCGCCTCAGCCTCATGAGTAGCTGGGATTACAGGCACGTGCCACCACACCCATCTAATTTTTGTATTTTTAGTAGAGACGGGGTTTCACCATGTTGGCCAGGATGGTCTCTATCTCCTGACCTCGTGATCCTCCTGCCTTGGCCTCCCAAAGTGCTGGGATTACAGGCGTGAGCCACCACGCCTGGCCGGTGAGTGACTATTAAGACTAAAACAAAATATTTGAGCAGTATAGTTTGAAAACTCAAGGTATATTTTTGCCTTTCCTCTCTTCACCCTTTCCTGAAAGGTAATCTTTGAGTTGCAT